AAGGTACACTTTATTACTCCAACTGATAATGTCTCTAGAGGTCAGAATTCTAAGAATAATGCATACTTGAGACCTAGAGGAAAAAATATGAAAAATAAGAATAGACCACATTATCAATATAAAGGACTTAGAAAGAACCAAGAAACCCTTTCTACGAATAATAAAACTCTTAGGGGTCCATGTTTTGTATGTGGAAAACCTGGCCACCAAGCCAAGGATTGTTATTTTAGAAAACGTGGACCACCTAAAAAGCATGGTGATAAACCTCAAGCTCATGTAGCTGAAGAGCCTTTAGTGGCTATGATAACTGAGGTGAACATGCTAGAGAATCATGAAGGGTGGTGGGCAGATTCAGGTGCTTCTAGGCACATTTGCCATGATAAAGATTGGTTCAAAAGCTACACTCATGCTGAAGAAGGTAAAATGGTCCTACTTGGTGACTCACATACCACTAAGGTGGTGGGTGTTGGTGATGTGGATCTAAAATTCACCTCTGGTCGTATTTTAACTTTGAAAGATGTTCTTCATACTCCTCAAATCAGAAAGAACTTGGTTTCAAGCTATCTTCTCAACAAAGCTGGGTTCAAGCAAATTATAGATTCTGATCAATATGTAATTACAAAAAATAATGCATTTGTTGGAAAAGGTTATGCATATGATGGTATGTTCAAATTGAATGTTGAAATGAATAAAATATCTCCTAGTTCTGTTTATATTGCTTCTAGTACTAATTTATGGCATGCTCGACTTTGTCATGTTAATTCTAAATACTTAAAGAATATGAGTTATATTGGATTGTTACCTAAGCTTCAAAATGATTTTGAAAAATGTGAGTATTGTAGCTTGACAAAAATCACAAAACAGCCACATGTAAAAGTAGAAAGGAGTAGTGATTTACTTGAATTAATACATACTGATATTTGTGAATTTGAAGGCACTCTTACACGTGGTGGCAAAAGATATTTTATAACCTTTATAGATGATTTTTCTCGATATACTTATGTATATCTTATGAAACATAAAAGTGAAACACATGAAAAACTTGTAACATATGTACAAGAAATTGAAAATCGTTTTGACAAGAAAATTAAAAAGTTTAGAAGCGATAGAGGAAAAGAATATGAAACTTTGGGACTAATTGATTACATTAAATCTTTAGGAATTGTTCATGAAACTACTCCGCCTTATTCACCTGCATCTAATGGTGTAGCAGAACGTAAAAATAGAACCATAATAAATTTAACAAATGCAATAATGGTGAATGCAAGTGCACCAAAGAATTTTTGGGGAGAAGCAATTTTGACAGCTAATTACATAATGAATAGAGTGCCTAGAAAACAAACTCTTTTAACACCTTATGAGTTATGGAATAACAGGAAACCAAATTTAAACTATTTTCGTGTGTGGGGTTGTTTGGCATTTGTTAGATTAGCCGATCCAAAAATTCCTAAATTAGGAGTTAGAGCTAGAAAGTGTGCATTTGTTGGATATGCCTTAACCAGTAAAGCTTATAGATTTTATGACATAGAAAGTAACATTATAATAGAATCTCTTGACACAATTTTTCATGAAGATAAATTTCCATTTAAATTAAGAAATAGTGGGGGTGAAAAGGAAAAAATAATAAATGAAACTAGCTCTACACTTTTGAAAAATTTTGAAACAAATGAAAATTTGAGAAGAAGTAAAAGAGCTAGAGTAGAAAAGGACTTTGGACCAGATTATTTAGTTTACTCTGTAGATGGTGATCCAAAAACTATAGAAGAAGCCTTAAACTCACCTGATTCTATTTTTTGGAAAGAAGCTATAAATGAAGAGATGGAATCCTTATTGTCAAATAAAACTTGGAAGTTAGTTGATTTGCCTATTGGTTGTAAAACTATTGGATGCAAATGGGTACTTAGGAGAAAATTAAAACCAGATGGCACAATAGATAAATATAAAGCTAGACTTGTAGCTAAAGGCTTTAAGCAAAAAGAAAATGTAGACTTTTTTGATACATATTCACCAGTAACAAGAGTTACATCAATAAGATTGCTTATAGCTATTGCTGCCATTCATAATCTTAAAATTCATCAAATGGATGTAAAAACAGCTTTTTTGAATGGAGATTTAGAAGAAGAAATATATATGGATCAACCACAAGGTTTTGTACAACCTGGTCATGAAAACAAAGTGTGTAAGTTAACAAAATCTTTATATGGTTTGAAACAAGCTCCTAAGCAGTGGCACGAAAAATTTGATAAGAGCATGATATCAAATAATTTTAAAATAAATGAAAGTGATAAATGTATTTACTATAAATCTATTGAAGATACTCATGTTATCTTATGCTTGTATGTTGATGACCTTTTAATTTTTGGGACTAATTTGAATATTATTGAAAATACCAAGGGGTTACTAAAAAATAATTTTGATATGAAAGATTTGGGTGAAACCAATGTAATACTTGGAATGAAAATTACTAGAAGCCCTAGAGGAATTATGTTAGATCAAGCACATTATATTGAAAAAATACTTAAAAAATATAAGTATTATGATTGTAAACCAGTTTCCTCTCCTTTTGATTCTAGTGTGCATTTATATCCAACTGAGAATGATGCATTTGTGTTAAATCAGCATGAATATGCAAGTATAATTGGAAGTTTGAGATATGCCACTGATTGTACTCGACCAGATATTGCTTATGCTGTAAATATTTTGAGTAGATTTACAAGTAAACCTAGTTATGATCATTGGAATGCTATTACTCGTGTTATGAAATATCTTAAAGGTACTATAAATTATGGTTTACTTTATAAAAATTACCCTGCTGTTCTAGAAGGGTTTAGTGATGCAGATTGGAATTCTCAATCTGGTGACTCATTATCTACCACTGGCTATATTTTTATTTTGGGTGGTGCAGCTGTGTGTTGGAGATCTAAAAAACAACACATTATTGCTAAATCTACTATGGAAGCAGAGCTTATAGCTTTAGCTTCTGCCGGTGAAGAAGCCAGTTGGTTAAGAGATTTATTATCTGAAATTCCCGTTTGGGATAAACCGGTACCACCCATACTTTTACATTGTGATAGTACTGCTGCAATTGGTAGAGTACATAACAAATATTACAATGGAAAATCCAGAGCTTTTAGAAGAAAACACAGTACTGTGAGATCATATTTATGTGATGGTGCTATAAATATAGACCATGTGAGATCAAAAGAAAATCTCGCTGATCCATTAACGAAAGCTCTAGCTAGAGAACAAATTTCTCAAACATCAAAGGGAATGGGACTTGAGCCTAAAAATTTTTAAATTGGAATCATCTATGAGGATACAACTACCTAGGGATTGGAGATCCCAAGAACTAGGTCAGGGATAAACGAATCATAGAATGGTTTGGCTGAAAAGCATGCGTATATTAAATCCCTTCCCATGGTGTAAAGCATGCTCGTGGTTCTATGACGAAGAAAAGGTTAAGATTTGATATAAATCTTTTAATGAGTTCTATAGCCCTTTATGGGTGGGATGCCTTAGTCATAGGGGCATTCTTGATAGACTCACCTATATGAGTGTGGAAGTAAAGGCCGCTTCCTATGAGAATTTGGCTAATTTTCTAAAGCATTCATGAATCTAGGATAAAGCACAAGGCCGTAATGTGCTGGCTTAAGAAGCATATTAATTAATATCTTGAATATCATGTGTGTGACATAATCTTACATATCTTAAAGTAGTCTTAGTTTCAAGGCTTTAGTCAACTTTGACTCTAATATGAGGATTATGGAAACACTAAGTGAAGGTTTCAAGGCAATGCCACTTTCACTATGCATGATATTCTTACTTTGCCCAAATTTCCTTTATCTCTTTCAGATTTTATTAAAATAAGTGGGGGAATGTTGGTGTATTTTAATAAAATCTTAATTTTTAGATAAATCTTTTCAAGGAGTTACAATAGTATTCATTGGTGAGTTATGTAAATTGTTATTGTGGGAGTTACATTGCATTTTGAATGGAGTTATAATTGTGAGTTATTTTTTTTTGAATAAGAGTTACAAAACAATTATTTGGAATTGTGGGAGTTACAAAAGAATTTTGAATAAGACATTATGTATTATTGTGGGGGTTACAAAAGGATTATTTGAATAAGTCTTTATAACCCATTCAAATGTGAATTAACTCTTTAGGTTACTAATTCTACCTATTAACTACGTTTTAATATGAAAAACTGTTACACATTAGTTTTTCTTTTACTTAAGATTTTGTAGCCTATAAATAGTGGAGTTCTCAAAAGGTTTTGACACACTTCTTCTCACAACAAAAAATCACTCTAAAATACTATCCTCCTCACATTTATTTCTTTCTCCTTCATTCTGTTTTCTTTGGGCAAAGAAGGATATTGGGAAGCTTTTGCTTCTCTTGGTTGTGCAGATCAAAGAGAAGTAACAACTATAGAGTTGGGCTGTTGTATCCTGGAGGCGGCGCGCTAGACCTTCTGCATCGGTTTGAAAAGCACCGTAGGGGCGCGTATCGTCTTAAAGAGAGCGTTCTACGCGCCTCAGCCCTACCGAACTTCTTAGTAGTTGTCAATTCCAAGGTGGTTATTTTTGAAGATCAGAGATTGTTCGTGTACTCTCCTTCAACAAACTATGACTGCAAAATTCAATCAGGTCATAAAAAAAGTAAGCAACCAAATTGGTACACACGTGGCCACTAACAAAGGACTATATTGGTCAATACCTTATTGTCCAGGGACAAAAATGATAACTTATCTGTTGACCTTGGTCTTGTTCTTTGTTTGGAACTACTCAAGTGGTTGGGGAAGTGTAGTCACACTTATTTAACTTTTTATTGCTTCTGCTGCACGATATCCTTTGTGAACAAAATAGCGTCTCACGACATTTGCACAAAAAAGTTTTTTTTTTTTTTTTTTAAAAAAAGCCCTACCTGTTGTTTGTTGGCTAATTTGTAGATGAGACAGTTGTAGATCCGGAACTAATTTTATTCAGTGGCTAAACCAGATAGAAGTCTGATACAAGAGGGAAAAGAAGATACCATAATGGAGATTCCCTCCAGCAGTAACACCAGTTTCTTTGAATTTGCTTTACATGACTATCTGAGGTCGCATCACATCTCCTCCAGCACTAGCACTAGTTGCTTTGATCTTGCTTTAGATTATCTATGCAAGCTTGAGGAGTCCGTTCATTTCTGGCACTTCGATATCACGGATCTGAAGGAAACCATAAGATTCTTGAAAACCATTTTTCTATATGTCAAGAAGTGTAGGAGGAGGAGGAACTGTGAAGCGGTTTTGGAGCATGACCAGGACGACAAGGGTAAAACGCTTTTGAAGCAAGATCAGGAGGACAAGGGTAAAGCGCTTTTAGAGCATGATCAGGAAGACACGGGTAATATTCTGTCAGAAAGGTTGTCACATAGTACTATTTGCTTCAGAATTCAAGATATGGTTATCAACATAGTTCATGATCTTGAGTCTGCTTATCTATTATACGAACATTCTGATGAATCAGATAGAAAGCGAATAGCAGAAAGTGCGATGTCCGGATCTCTGGCTAATATTTGGCCATTTCTTAGGACAAATATCAAGGAATCGTGCACCGTCATCTTCGACTATTACCCACCGGAAGATCCACAACTAGTTGTGGATCTTATTGCATCCCTTTTGGAACCTCTAGGGCATCCTTTAATTGAGTTAGAGGATACTATGAGACACGAGCTACAGCTTTTAAGGAGTCTCATTCGCGTTGCGATAATGCGAGGTGTTGAGTGTACGCAATTTACAGATCTCTTGACTCACGCTACAGTTGTGGTTGAATACGCGATTTTTGAATGTTGCTTTGACAGTGATGAAGAACAAGTGCCCAGTCAAACGGACTCTGAAATTTATGAGTCGATGGATGAGGATATAGATCCTCCTGATCCCCAAGTCCGAGAAACTTGCATGCATGTCCTGGCAGCGTCAAAGAAACAATCAAGATCATCATATGCTTTAGCCTTTGAGCAGAAGGAGCATCGAGTGCTAGTCGAACTTATTGATTCTCTCCTAGATTATCTTACGGATCTACTAGGATCTTGTGCCAGTTTTCAGGTTCTAGTAAAGGATCAAATGCTAAAACTCCATCAAGGAGTAAAATACTTGAGTATCCTTCTTGAAGAGGAGGAGAAACTAGGTGATGAAATAAAGGATCTTATTGGAGTTGTGGTCCATGATGCAGGAACTCTGATCTTCTCCCTTTCTGTCAATGAAATCAAAGAAGGCTTTCCCAAGGAAACAGATCTTGTATTGTTTCATTTGTACAAAGTTCTCAAGTATATGATGGCAGAGCTTGGACACAATTATCCACTAGCATCACCACATTCGTTGTTTAATTATCCTAGATCCAATGAGTTGGGTTGTATAGATTTTTTCTTAAAAAATCTCAAGGAACTAGCAAGGTGTGATGAGGTTGATGATTCAATTGTTTTCATATTAAATAGAATCCAAATGGTCCAAGATGATCTTGTATTCTTAAGATCTTTCCTAGAGAATATCAAGGAGCAGCGCTATCATACTGAAAAACTCCAAGCTTTCTGGAGTCGCGCTATGGAGGCTGCATACAAGGCAGAGTTACTAATTGACTTGATACTTGTTGGTGATAAATGCGAAGATTCTTTGTATGCTGTTGCTAGACATATCAAGCTTCTTAAGACTGAGGCCCTAGAGATCTATAATGGTCAAACCCGGACAGTTAACAAGACTTTCATTCACATACCTTCACAACTTGCTGCTGCCATACACAATGAAGATCTAGTGGGTCTCGATGATGCGGTGGAAACTATCACTCATCGACTTATAAGAGGATCAAAGCAGTTGGATATCATTCCCATTGTAGGTATGCCTGGGCTTGGTAAGACTACATTAGCCAATAAAGTTTATGCTGCTCCTTCAGTTAGGTTACATTTTCATGTTCGTGGCTGGTGTTCTGTTTCTCAAACGTGCAGCAAGCACAGTTTGTTAGTTCAACTTTTGTGTAGTCTTTATTCTAAGAGTCCTCATGAATATCTTAAGAAGGACGAAAATGATTTGGCTAAGAAGCTAAGGCAAGTTTTGCTGAGAAGTAGGTATCTCCTTATTTTGGATGACTTGTGGGACATTGAAGCATGGAATTTGTTAGAAAAATTATTGCCGAATGATGCCAATGGAAGCAAGATTCTCTTAACCAGCAGATTTCAGAATTTGTCTTCACAATTCAAACCTGATAGCAACCCTTACCATCTCCGCCCACTTACTGATGAAGAGAGTTGGACATTGTTGCAAAAAAAGCTATTTGACAAAGAAGGTTGTCCTCCAACACTAAGTGAAGTTGGATTTCAAATAGCGAAAACTTGTAGGGGCTTACCCCTCACAGTTGTCCTTGTTGCTGGAATTCTTGCTACTACGGCACAAGATAGATGGGAAGAAGTTGCAAAAAGTCTTAGTTCTATTGTCCTTGACAATGAATATTGCATGAAGACACTTGAGCTGAGTTATAGTCACTTACCAGATTATTTGAAGCCATGCCTTCTATACTTTGGTGCATTTCGAGAAGATGAGGTCATTCATGTCCGAAGGTTGTTACGGCTTTGGATCTCTGAAGGATTTGTGCAACAGGCTGAAGGAAAGAGCTTAGAGGAAGTAGCTTACGACTACTTGGTGGCTCTAATTAATACAAGTTTAGTTGTGGTTACCGACCAAAGAACTACGAGGAGTGCTAAAGCCTGCCAACTTCATGATTTGGTACACGAGTTTTGTGTGGAAAAAGCCAAAGAAGAAAGTTTTCTACATATTATTCGATGTTGGAAAGGCCCTTTTTGTCTTGCTGAACCAAGCAGCCACCACCGAGTTTGGATTCAAAGTAGCTGGGAATTGAAGACTTGGGAGTTAATGCTAATTTTTCCCAATTTACGCTGTTTGCTGTTGTTTGGATATCATGCTTTTGACTGTGAAGAGAAGCCTTCGAGGATTTTGTTACCTAAGCTTCTTAGAGTCTTGGATTTGGGGGATTGGGGCTTTGGTGAATCATTTCCAATGGAAGTTTTATTGCTTGTTCACTTGAGATACCTAGCGCTCTGTGGAATAACATCCATCCCATCTGCAATAGTCAAACTTTCAAGGTTAGAAACTCTCATTGTAAAACATCCAGAGAGTAATATTGTGCTGCCAAATACTATTTGGGACATTAGGACGTTGAGTTATCTACGTACTATATATGGGAAAAGAGGTTTTATTTTTGCAGTTGGAAATCTTGAAGTATCCCCAGATTTAGATCATTTGGACACGTTAAACCTTGCAATTGATCCCTTGTCTCAAAACCTGCAAAAGTTACTGACAAAATTACCAAGCATCCGCAGGCTAAAATGCATGAGAGATGATGAATCAAGAGATGACGAATCAAGAGAAGCTACAAGAAATTGTGACGAGATTCTTGTGTTTGACTGTTTGACTCAACTAGAGTCACTTCAATTGATTGGTTTTCGGGGATATGGATTTAACTTCCCATTGAATTTGAAGAAGTTGAGTCTCTCAGAGAATTGTCAGCCATGGAGTGAAATTTCAACGATTGGAAAGTTGCCCAATCTTATAGTGCTTAAATTACACGATTCCTCCTTTATTGGGGAAGAATGGGTAATGAAAGAAGGGGAGTTCCCTAACCTCCGAGTCTTGGAATTGTTAAGGTTGGACATTCGAAACTGGACTGCATCTTCTGATGATTTTTGCCATCTTGAGAAATTGGTTGTGCGCCATTGTAAGAAGCTGGAAGAGGTCCCTGCTTGTTTAGGGGAATGTCCAACTCTTGAAATGATTCAGGTGGAAAACTGCAGTGAGTCTCTTGCAAATTCAATAAAGCAAATTCAGCAAGAACAGATGGATAGTGGAAATGAGGTTCTAAAGATCATAATTGAAAATTGTTGTGATGATACACTCATTCTCTCCAAAGAATAGTCGAATTCCTCAAAAGCAGAGTCAATTCCCTCAGAAGCAGAGGAGATTTCCTCCCACCACCTTTGATCAGGTCAGATAAAATTATATTTTGCATATGTTGAATCCATTCAATTATATAATGATTCATGTCCGTTTTTCATCTGTTTATATGTTTAATCAGTTCAATGCTATATTAATTCATTTATATCTCAAAGCAATTTCTGCAGGCTCCCAAATTCTTCTGTTTGGACCTAATGCTGCTGTATAACTTTCCTATTGCAGCGCCAAACACAATCATGCATTAACCAAACCAGACAAGTGTAAGTTGCTTCTATTTTTCCTCAATAAAAAAAACCATAACCAAATTGATTGATACGTTGAAACATACAATAGCGGTTTTGCAACAAAAATATTAGGTAGAGACACAAACCAGTTTGTGTTACTTTTAAACAGAGAAAGGCCATAGGCCCTTTATAATTTGCATAACATTGTCATATGAGCGCATGTTTCACTGACATTGAGATCTGGGAATAGCTTTAAATATCTAAACACATGCATCTTCCTTCACTAAAATATGCTGAAGTACAAACATTTTTATTCTTCACTAAGCCATATTTTCGGAAGTCTAGAGGAAGAAATTTTTCTCAAAACTATTTTACGCAGCTTCATGTTTTATCTTCCATTTTAAGTGGGTAATTGCTCGAACACATCAAAATGACATATCAGAAAAGCTAGATGACCTTTTTAGTTGGGTAATATGTATACCTTTCCATTCAACTGATCTAGTACTGCAATTTCCTTCTTTCACAGCAGGTTTCCTCGGCAGGAGAGCCTTTTTCTTCTCATCACACCAGACAAGGGTGAAGACTCAAGCATTCAACGTTGTAACAGTTTGATGACATAATAGTTCATTTGTACTGAAGCAATTTTTAGAGCTTCCAGATTATTTGGTTTGAACTTGATGCAGCTGTATTACTTTGTCATTGCAGGGGCAAGCACAGTCATGCATTCTATCAGTCCAACATTATCCATCATAATCTATTTGTAAAATGTTCTCCATGCCCTCTTCTGGTTTGATGTTTATTAGTGTTTATGAACCCAATTTTTGAAATCTTCTTCATGTTCTTTTCTACTTCGAGGTTCAATATGCTTGTATATCATCATCCCAGTTTGTTAAATCTTCTTTGATGCAGCTAAGATTGATGTGATGCTTATAAGTTAAAACCAGCAGATTGATGTCATGCTAGATAAACTTTTCTGTTCCTTTATTGTATCACAGATAAGAGTAATACATATAATTGTAACTTGCTTCTCTTTATCCTCAATAAAGAACCATACACTCAATTGATAGATAAGTTAAAACATACAATAACTTTTTTGCAATAAATATTAAGTGGAGACACCAAAAACTTTTCAATAGAGAAATAGCATTGGAACAAAATTGTAAATTTACTTCAGTACATGGAATCCATGTTTCACTGGCATTGAGATCTAGAAACAGCTTTGAATATCAAGCCAAATATATATATATATATATATATATATATATATATATATGTATATGTATATATATCTGAAAACATGTGGGAATATGCTATCTTTATGTGTGCCTATCTTCTTTAAATGTTTTCATGTACATTGTTAGGGAGAAATGCCTTGAAAGAGCCCACCAAAGAATCCAATATGTAAGTCAGAAATTCAACTTTGACTCAAAAGCTGAAACCATTAGGTCTCAACCCCTTACTTACATATTAACCACTCTTTCTCTACCTTTTTCGGATCAATATGGATATAATCCTTTACTCATGAATCTAAAAAATTTTCCCCTTCATGAGTAATCCCTCACATTAGATTAAACCCAAATTTATAAACCTTCTTCGAGTCCACTTTAATATTCAACGCAATCTCACATTAACTCCTAAAGTCACTTTTTCTTCCAATCATGACCCACTCTTCTTTAACATCTAAACTGGATCTTTAACATCTAAACTGGATTCTGGACCCTTGCCAATCCTTGGCTACTTGGTCTAACACTAACCGGATCCCCTGCCAAACCCATGGCGCATCTGGTCCAACACTAACCCAAACTCCTTAGCATGACACTTCGGCCTACCACCAACAAAAGAAGTTTTTATCAAGTCCAATATCTAAATTAGGAACCCAACTCTAACCCAAAACATTAAGCCATTAGGTCTCGAGCGCTTACTTACATATTAACCACTTTTTCTCTATTTCTCGAACTAATGTGAGACATAGTCCTTTACTCGTAAACCTAACATACTTTAATTTTCATTCTTCAACATAGCAATATTTTCAGAAGTCTAAAGAAAGTAATTTTTCTTAAAAGTTTTTCGTCGCCGTTTCATCTTGTAAGTGATTAATTGTTCAAACTGATCAAAATGACAGATCAAACAAATTAATTAGATGACATTTTTGTGGAGTTATCTATAATATATAGTTCTTCATTTGACTGATATAGCACTTGAATTGTTATTTTCACTTGCCTTAAAAATCACTAGCTTTTGCTGAAAGGATTTTATTGAAATTTATAATGCGCTCTGACCTCACATACCAATTTATAATCTATCCCTTCCCATTATGCATATACAAACTGAAAATGTGCTTTCTGCAACGAGAACTTGATTGTATATAATATAATATAATATAATATAATACAATCTATCCCTTCCCATTATACATTTTGAAGTATTTTGTTGATTTATGCTGTCTGCAACAAGACCAACCACCCCAACCCCAGCATGCTCAAATTACAGATTTATTGCGAAAATCATAAGCTAGAAACCAAGAATAAAAATGTTCAAATGTTCAAGTCGATGGTGATAGATGATCGTTGTCATGAGGGGCCAGAATGCTAAGTGAAAACCGACATTAACATTCTTGAATCCAAATTGCGGTAATCATTTCCTCTGTTTTGATTTAGACTTTCTTCCTTTGACTTTGATTTAGACTTTTCTTTTCTTTTCATCCGATCCTGGGCATTGGCTTGGGTTTTTTATTATCCTTTTGGGTCTTCATTTCTTTTTCTTTATACTTTTGTTTTCTTAATTTTTTTGGTGAAATTTTTGCACTCCTTTCTCTTCTTTCTTATTTTTTCTTTTTTTATAACTAATAAAAGAAATTCTACAAAAATAATAAACTAGAACATAGGTTAAAAACAAATAAAACAAGTTTTTTAAAAAAAAGAAAATTAAAAAACATAATAAGGATTTTTGTTTGAAAAAGAACATAATAAGGATTCAATGAAAATTTTGGTGCTCACAGATTTAGCTTGCATACAAGCAGCCAAGTCTTCATGGATGGACCCAGTGGAGGAGCCAAAATAGTTTTTCATTTGGGGCACAGATGAAAAAAAAATTTGTACCCTTATAAATAGACGCTGAAAGTTTCTCCATAACCTGTGCTGAGAAAAATTTTTAAAACGCATTTTTAAAACACTCATCATATCTTACGGACATCATAACATATAAACGTTACAATGAAGAGTGTCAAAAGATATATTTTCAAAGTGACATTTAATCCAAATGCACCAATTAGTATTCATGGAACAAGGAATAGCAAGTAACAATGCACATAGTTATTATATAAAATAAGAAAACCATAACTGGTTCAACTATTAGTTTTAGTGTATAAAAAAGCTCATTATCGAGGTAATCATCATTAACATAGTGATTTATGTCCATTAAGAATATATATTATCAAAGTACTTATAAGGCAATAAAAAACGGTGATACGTGAATTCAACGACAATAAAACCAAAGCTTTTTTAAAACCCAACTATTAAAACAAAAAATTTTCCCTTGCCAGTAAAAGCACATATAAAAATTATTAGCGTAAAATAAGGATTTCTTAAAATTACTACACCTAAAATTGTTATTTCACTTTGGCATACGTGCCCGCATTGCCTTACAAGTAGCTCCACCCCTCGTTGGACCAATCAGTATTCTAGTATTAAAAAACCGCAACTCCATGTTTAAGACAAAGTTACTAAATCCAACTCAATCTGATAGTTCAACCGATAAATTGGTTTTCTAATCAAGTTAAGTTGCTAACTTGATCATTTAAGGTAATGAACCGTTGAGTCAATTTTACCAATGGATGCTGCAAATTGAAGGCTGTTGACTATTTTATACTAATATTTCCCTTTCCCTTAACTCTTCAATTTTTCATTTTTTTTTACCCCCTTAAATACTCCTTTCCTTAAATTTTTAGTACTCTAGCACTTTATCCTAAAAGTTCAAACATAAATTACCAAAGTGATATCTCACCATAATTTATTCCCCGATAACACTTCTCAAATAAGCCTTTCCTTGAATTTTTAATACTCTCATACTTTATCCTAAAAGTTAGAAAATAAATTATCAAAATGATATCTTACTATAATTCATCCCCAACATAATAATTGCTCTCATAAAATATTGTAATTTAGAGCAAAAAACTACATATAAGTAAGATATTATACTTTAAAGTTGGTTTTGATTCCTAATTAAATTTACCTTGTCCTCACTCTTGTAATATTTAATAACTCAATGAAAATCAAACAAAAAATTTTATTGCATAATTTGTCAAGATTTATATATACAAAATTAATAAACAATATATTTAATTTAAAAATATAGTTTAATGATTCATTGGTTCAACCATTCATCCACTAGTTGAACCAGTAAGTCAGTAACCTATTGACACACCCCCTTTGCTGAATTCCTATCCCAATTGAGTTTAATAACATTGGTTTAAGAGCTAGTCAATTATTTTATCAAATTCATCCACTAGTTGAACAAGTAACCTATTGACACACGCCTTTGCTGAATTCCTATCCCAATTGAGTTTAATAACATTGGTTTAAGAGCCAGTCAATTATTTTATCAAATCTTATCTTAGCAATGTAGAGTCGTTGGCTAGCATTTCTCTACATGCCTTGTATTTGATTGGACACTGAGGGCAAGTCTTCTAATCGTAAAATCACTTGACACTAAACTACATTAAACTTATAGGATTATTTTTCTCTATAATTTTGAAAAAAAATTAATTTTTTGTGAAAATTCTCTTCATATATTTTCAATCATTTTTTACTTTACATATATTACACATCTTTAAATGTTATTCTTGATTTTGATGATCACAAAGCACTTTGAAATGTTTATCTAATTCTCTTCAAATATAAGTGTTGTGCTTTTAAGAGAATCAGGTACAAAGGTATCAAGGAAAGAAAATCAACCAAAAGAAGAAGCAAAAACAGGGCACTCATGTCGGACGTCCTAAAGGAAGCTGTCGGACGTCCGAAAGAATGAAGAATATCAAGAAGGAAACTCTGTCGGACGCTTGTAAAGAAGCATCAGACGTCCGGGAGGATCGGACGCACATCGATCGCATCGGACGTCCGAGAAATTTCGCAAAGTTTTGATGACTCTCTGATGACGTTCGGACGCAGATGCTGTCGGACGATAAAATCCCATCGGACGTCCGAACGACAACTTGGCTGATTTTCGGACGATGGGATCGGACGGTGATTAATCTGTCGGACGTCCGACGGCCCCAACGGCTAGCTGACTCTTCATCTGCCTACTATCCGTTGGAAGCATTATTGAAACCCATTTTTTGTCCCCTTTAAATGCAAACGATTCTGAACCAGTGAGGGACTTTTGCACACTTTGTTTACAAGATCTCAAGAGATATTTTAGTTAGAAAATAGTCTCCCAAGCTAGATTTGTTCTCCAAGTGGTGTGAATTTCTTGTAAGCACTTCTCTTGTGTTTGAAATTTTCAATAGTGTAGCTTTGTTGAGGGTTATCTGAATGATAGTAAAACTTCCTAACTTGACTAAGTGAGGTTTGGGGCAAGGAGGAAGTAATCCCTCCATTGTACATTGAGTTGATCTTGTTCTTCAAAGAGAAGGTGCTCATCTTTGTGATTGGTCTTCAAGTTTGAGGAAAGCTTGGTAGACAATCGGTTTGATACTCTATCTTATTCCTTTTGTTTAATAAAATTCTCATTGCTTATATACTATCTTATTTCTGATCAACATTGTTCTCTTCTTTAAATTTACTTGGTTAATCACTACTAGAAAAGAAGGTAAATTTTTATTAAAGAAAAAGTGCATAAACTCAATTAAGGT